GTTCGATCCCCAGCATCTCCTATGGTCCCCTGAGCACCACCAGGAGTAACCCCTAAGAATTACGGGGTGTGACCCAAAAAGTGAAAATACACACACACACACACACACACACACACACACCAATGTCACTTTTCCAGGAGGAGCAAGGAAGAATCCTAAAGATTGGAGATCCCTGTTGCTTCGCCAGGCCACAACCTGGAAGTTTCCACCCCGGCGTACACACCATATACCTAAGGTTTGAAGATTGTTTTCATCAATACCCACAGACCGCCTCCTCGGCAATGACAAGGACAGCTGATGCTCTGTGACTCAGAGCCCCTTTGTTTATAGAACTGGGGGAATCTAGAAGGAATTGGTCTCTCTCTGACATCACCTGGAGCAAAGGAGAGAATGCTATAAAATAGCATATCCCTAATTATGGGTGGAATAATTAGGGATGGAATTGCTTTTCAAAAGTCCAGTAGTTGTGTGTGGCAATGTAAATGAAACAAGATTGGCTCTGAGTAATAATTACTGAGCTGCTAATAGGTACACTGGGATTCTTATTAGTCTATTAGTCTCTCTCTCTCTCTCTCTCTCTCTCTCTCTCTCTCTCTGAGAATTCAAGTTAAAAATAGACATTCTGGGACTGGAGTGATATCACAGCAGGTAGTGTGCACGCTTTGCACGGGGGCAGCCTGGGCTCGATCCCTGGCACCCGAGCCTGCCAGGGGTGATTCCTGAACACAGAGCCAGAATAAGGCCTGAGCACCACCAGCTGTGGCCCCCAAACAAATAAAAAATAGCAACTCTTGGCAGAGAGATAGGACAGTGGATAAGGCATTTGCCGTGCATGCAGCCAACCTAAGTTCAATCCCCAGCACCCCAGGTCCCCAGTGGCCTCTAAGCACTGAACTAGGAGTAAGCCCTGAGCAGAGCTGGGTATGGGGTCACAGTACTTTCCTGTGAAAGCAAAGCACCATTAGAAAACTTAGAGAAATTCCGTCTAGAGAGATCCTTAAATACAGCTTAACCTCATTTAAGCACCAGAGCTCCCCTCCCCGAAGTGACTATTGTGCTCCCAGCTTGCCATCCATAATTTTTTTTAATTTTTAATTTTCTGGTATTTTAGCCAAACAACTGTTCCTGCCTCAACTTGTCATTTCACGGGATTCTGGGGACCTGTTTTAAAAGATCACATAGTAACTGCTCATGTGAGCAAACAAGAGCCAAGGACAGTTTCCTGCTCCTCCTGCCAAGATGTGGGGGAGATTTAACTTATTTTCTTGGCTCCCAAGGAAAAGCGAGGAAACAGCCTGTGGAATAAGCAAGGTCGGTGGTCAGAGCCACACAGAGAAATGAACCTGTTTAGGAGCCCAGGGTCTGACCTGGGAGCTGCCAGGTTGGTTTCAGGAGGCTGAAGGACTATAGGCAAGGACTGTGACCTCTCTGTGCCCCAGTTTCCCTATAAAAGGACAGGTTAGACTTCTGTGAAAACTTTATAGAACAGCCACCAGATTTAGAAAACAGAAATCTCCTGGAGACCCACGGAATGTTCAAAATCTGCTCTGATGGAACAACTCTTTGCTGTTTATTTAAACTCAAGTTCAAAAGGGCATGGGGTTGTCAGTTGATTTCCTGGCAACCCTAGGTCAGAGGTTGTTGGGAGACCTATGAAACAGGATTCATCTGGAATTCCAGGACACAGAGAGAGTGCTCAGCCAACGACTGACCGGTGCTATTTCTTTTCTTTTCGGGTTTTGGGCCACACCTGGCAGTACTGAGGGCTTACTCCTGTTTCTGCATTCAAGGGTCACTCCTGATGGGGCTCAGGGAACCATATGGTATGCTGGGATCAAACCCACATAGGCTGTGGGCAAGTGCCTTCCCCGCTTACCAACTCTCAGGCCCTGGCGCTGGCTATTTCTATCAATGCATTAACCAGAGGCTCTGTCCTATTCAGCTTGGAAGAAAAAAAATGGAAAAAATGTGGGAGGCGCTGGAGACATAATACAGCAGGCCGAAGCACTTGCTTTGCACACCACTGACTCCAGAATGATATCTGCACTGCAGAAGTAGCCCTGAGCCCTTCGAGGAGTGACTCTGGAGCACAGAACCCGGAGTAAGCCCTGCACACCACCAGGGGTGGGGTGGGGACAAACTTCCCTGCCAACCAACACAAAAAAGTGTTATTTTCTGACTTCACTGTCACTGCCCTCCCGTTATTCATCGATTTTCTCGAGCGGGCCCAGTAATATTGTGAGACTTGTTACTGTGTTTGGCATATCGAATATGATACGTCACAGGTAGCTTGCCAGGCTTTGCCGTGAGGGTGAGATACTCTCGGTAGCTTGGCGGGCAGAGGGGCGGAGGAATCGAACCTGGGTCAGCTGTGTTGGCTGTGTGCAAGGCAAACACCCTACCCGCTGTGCTATTGCTCCAGCCCCTTCAAATTGTTTTGCAAGCATCAAGACAGGTGTATTATGTCGTCCACTGGTGAAAAGATACTGTGTAGGAAAAACTGTTAACATTAGCTGGCAGGGATAATGTTCCCATTTTTGTTGTTGTATGAGAGCTACCTGTATCATTTTTTCTTTTCTTTTTCTTTTAAAATCACACCTAGCGATCCTCAAAGGTTACTCTTGGCTCTGCACTCAGGAATTACTCCTGGCAGTGCTCGGGTGACCATATGGGATGCCGGGAATCGAACCTATGCAAATGCCCTACCCACTGTGCTATCGCTCCAGCCCCTTAGTTTTTCTTTTCGTGTGTGTATTGGGGTGGCGCACACCTTGTGGTACTCTGGGGCTACTCTAGACTCTGCGCTCAGAGGGTCTTGAGGTTCTAGGCATCAAATGTTGATTGCCTGCATATAAGGAAAGTAAGTAGTGCCTGATTCCCTGTATGATGTCTCTGGTACATCATTTTCTTTCTCTTGGGGAACCACTAACTTGTAGGTCCTGAATACAAAAGCAAGGAGGGATAGAGGAAACACACAAACTAGGACGGGCAAGGGAAAAATGCCTTGGCCAGCGCAAAACAGACTAGACCAAACTTGGTTAATCAAGTACTCTCGGGAACAAGAAAATTGCTCCACCACCTGCTTGCCAAAGCTCTGAAGGTGCCATTTCTGCAGACTACTTGCTTAAGACATAAATTGATAAGGAACTTGTGAAGACAAGTCAAACTCTTAACTTTCATGGATCTAGCTATAGGAGGGACGGATGTAAAACGTGTTTATTTTCCCCAGCACAGAAGACTGAATATTGGTGAATCACTGTACAAATTGATGACATATGTATCTGACTCTTTTTCGTTCCGTGCTGACTCATGATCTAGTAAAGATTTGTGGTGCTAGGTATTATGACTTGCATAAACATATGGTTATGAAACTAACTTTGTAGAAGAGAAAGGGGTTCTGAACACACAACACTTAGAAAATAGGAATGTCGGGCTTCTTTATTTTCATCACGCCAGGTATGGAACTCAGGCAGTTTTTTGGTTTTTGAGGCCACACCTGGCAGTGACCAGGGCTTATTCCTTGCTCTGTGCTCAGGGACAGTCTTTGGTGGTGCCCGGAGGACCATATGTGGTATTAGGAATTGAACCTGGGTCAGCCACATGCAAGGGAAGCACTTTAACCCTGTACTATCTCTACAGCCTGGATCAGACCCAGGAAACTTTACACATACCAAGCAAATGCTCTCCTGTTCAACCACATCTAGAGCCCCAGGGTTAATTTCGGGAGAGAGAGAGTTGGGGCTTGGGCAAACCTGGTGGGGCCTAGGATCTACTCCTGGCACAGTGCTCAGGGTGTCGTTGCTGGCTGTAATCAAGCGAACTATAATTGATATCAAGGATGGAATTGAGGTGCAATCCATGCATGCAAGGCATGTTGTGTCTTAATCCCTGTATACACACACACTCTCTCTCTGAATTCATGTTTACTCTTTAAGTAAAAGATGCCCTCCCATCAAATTATAAAAATACATTCTGAGTACTTTTCCAAAAAAGAATATTTGCTTACTTATCAGCATCCTTTCACTGATATTAAAACATGTGAAGAAGAGATCAGGAGAGACCATGCAAAAAAAAAGTGCAGTGACAGAGTGTAAAAAAGAGAAGAGGGAAATTTATGCAGGTAGGGTATTGAAGAGAGACAGAGGGAGCTGCAGAACACGTATAAGGTGGTAAATTCCATTTACTGTGCAAACTCTATTCTTTCTTTCTTTCTTTCTTTCTTTCCTTTTCTTTTCTTTTGCATACCCAGTGCCTTACATATGGAGAGCTACAACTCCTCCCTGAACTCATCCCCAGTCTGTTACCTCGTTTTAAAACAATGTGAATGGTATATTCTACTGTTTCACGAACTTATATTAACCATCACCCCTCAGCCCACGCTTCCCCTTCATATCTTCCCCCCCCCCCCCCCCCCCCCCCCCCCGTAACTTTTCACATAAGCCACAGGATAACCTAATCTATGTCTCAGGCAGCCTTTGTAGAACTTGTTGCTATCTCGCTTCTATATGGCTCAAAGACCATTTACAAGTCTGTTGCCCAATTTCCTGGCAAAGGGGGAAGGGACTCCTTAACATGAGATTGGGGGTCTGTTTTGCAAACAGGCTGTCTGGTCCTGGAACCCAACCACCATGCTCGGTTAGACCCAGGCCACAGTGGTCTTTTGTGCCTTCTTGTGACCCTCAAAAGGATTCAGGGTAGTTGTAAAGCTAGTTAAAAAGCAGAGAACACCGGTAAAATAGGGATGGGGTGGGGAGAACCACCCCTAAATCCCCTAGTTAACAACAACAAAAGACCCAAACACTCATCCAAACACAACCAAACCTATCTTTTCTCCCCCCTCTGTTTTTGTTAGAACACGTTAAGACTTCGTGAGCAGAACTGGCAAAACTTGATTATTCACTTTCTGAGTCTGGTCTTGGAGGCAGGCACCCTCATGCTTGTTGGCTCTCAGCCCCTACGAACAGAATGTTTTAGAGGGGAAATAAGAGGGAAGTACTCACTGCCGTCACGAACTTCAGTTCCTTGGCTCCCGGCAGCCCCGGGAAGCAGGAGGCCAGCAGAAGGAAGAAGGGGAGGCCGAGGCTGTGGGGGGCCCGGGCCACGGGGACAGCCCTCATGCCCAGAGCTGCGGTGGCAGGGCAAGGAAGTGCCTGAGCAGTGCCCCTGGCATCAGAGGGGGAGCTATTTAATCAGCGCATCGGAAGGGCAGGAGGGACGGGGCGGAGCCTGCTCCCAAGTAGGGAAAAAACTCTCCAGGTGTTTGGGGCGGGGCTTGGCGGCGGTCTGGGCGTTAATTTGGGAGCTGGGGGTGGAGATCGCAGGCTCCCGGATTTAACCTTAGAACACCGTGCGTGGCATGCTCTTGGCTTGGTCTTCTCCTTGGCTCTTTCCGTTGAGGGGAGACGCTGTGGGTCTCGCAGTGACTGTCATGCAATCTCTCTTTTCAGGGGAGGGGCGAGAAAGGGAATGCCTGGATTAAACAGAGGGGAGAGAAAGAGCGAAGCAGATGCAGAGAGGGCCCGAGTTAGAGGGACCTTCCCTCACTGTTTTTCCAATCAAACTCAGAGATCTTGGAACTGTGGGTCACTCCTGAAAGATATTTGAGGCTCATGGGTGGGATCATCACGATTAGGAATCCAAGGACTTTTCCTAACCCTTCGGAGGTTCTCAGCCACTAACCCCCCCCCCCCACCCCCCACCTATTCTGTATGGTCAAGCCCCAACTCTGGCCCAGAAGCCGGATGTCCAGGGTGAGTCACAGCCCGGCCTCTCCCGCTGTGATGTCATCAGGGATGTGGGTGAGAGTGGGAACTCAGGGCCCCTTCTCCAGTCTGTCAGCACTGTCCTGGGTGAGGCTGGACTGAGCCCAGCTCTGCGGGCTGGGTTTCATCTCTCCAGCCTTCAGCAGGCTGCTCCCATCCCCTGCCCTGCTCCCAGGTGCCCTAGATTGGGGCTGGGGGAGAGAGCTGCTGTTCCTTCTGGGGTGGGGAGATGGGTGTAAAGAACGAGCACACTGTGGCCCTCAGCCTTGCATCTTCTTTCCAGGCCCTCAGCTCCTCTCCCTGCTGCCCATACAGTCCCAGTCCCGGTCAGGGTCCTCCCACTCTTCCCACTGGCAACCCTACCTCTCTCTAGTGGTAAACTCTTTTCTCTAGCAACCCCTTTTCATCTGAGAAGTACAACTTGGGTGAGCTCTGCTAGAAGCCTGTCGGATTCATAATGTGGTTGGTTATGAATGGAGTTTGGTTGTTAGGCATTCGGAAACCTTTCGTGTTGCCATATTTTTTGGTGATTTGTCAAAAATACACGTTCCTTGGTTTAAGAAATGAGGGTCTGCCCTACGTCTAAAACTACTGTTTTGTTTGTTTGTTTTGGAAGCACATCTAGTGGTGCTTGGGAGTTAGTCCCATCTAGGTGCTCCGGAGCCCATGGGTGCTGGACTCTGGCATAATCAACCAACTCATTTTACCTTCTATGACAAATTTGCATTACAGCCATTGAAATATTCAGTGAAAAATCTTTTCAGGTGAAACTCCATCTCCCTTGTGTTGTTGGCCAGGTAGGAGGGCAATATCTCAGCTCCTGAACTTGTACATCTTCACACTTTATCACTGTCACACTTCACACTTTATAGCACTGTTCTTCCCTTGTTCATCGATTTGCTCGAGCAGGCACCAGTAATGTCTCCATTGGGAGACTTGTTACTGTTTTTGGCATATCAAATACATCATGGGTAGCTTGCCTGGCTTTGCTGTGTGGGTGGGATACTCTCGATAGCTTGCTGGGCACTCCGAGAGGGGTGGAGGAATCGAAACTGGGTCAGCTGTGTGCAAGGCAAACACCCTACACACTGTGCTATTGCTCCAGCCCACTCTTTGGCTATTTTACATTTAATAATGCAAATAAATAACAGCCAGACAGAGCCTTGTTACTGAAAGAGGAAGCCTCAGTTTCCCCTTGGCAGTGGGAGAGGAAGCTCCATTTCCTCTCTCAAGATGTTTCATTTCTCCCCCATCAACCTGACACATTCCATACCCAAGGTTCTGTCTCAGCATCCCTGGGACTTCCCAGGGAAATAAATAAAGCTCTGCTCCTGAGTGTAGGCTGACAGGGAAACTAAAATAATGGGCAGTTATGCCTAGAGATTTGTTTCACCTTGCCAATGAAGAAGAAAGCTCCAGTTTCCTCTTACCACCTGTCCCCATTAACCTGACACACATTTTATCCCCAAAGTTCTGTCCCACCATTCCTAGAGCTTTTCAGGACCATAAGACTCTATTCCTGGAGCCTACGCTGACAGGGAGACCAAGATAAGGAGCAATAATGACCAGAATGATTTAGTGGTCTAAATATCTAGACTGTGATTTTCTGGCATCTTTTGCAAACATTTGCTAATCAATAAAGAATGCAAGGAGCCCTTAAAAAGGTCTACAGAAAACTTCCTGCCTTAACTTAGTCCTATATTAAATTCCTTCCCACTCCGGAAGCTCCCTTTCTTTTCTCTTCTACTTTCCAATAACCCTCAACTTTATTGCTCAATATTTTCATTCCTGAAAATATTAAAGAACCCGGGAATCACGAACGAACCCACTTTCCCTGCTTCTACATCACCTGCATCATTACCCTGTTGGCTGTTTTTCACATCAACTTTTCTGTGCCAAGGACTAAATCCAGGGGCCTTACACATGTGAGGTGAGTGTTGTCCATTGAGACACATCTCCAGCCCGTTAGCTGTTTTCCAAAAGATTGATATGAGATGGATTTAGACTAAAAGTTCACCCCTCAATTGAGCATTTGGGAGGGGTGTTTGTGTCTATTTGTCCTTGGCATAAAATGATTGACAATTGTATTTTGTATTTGTGTGGGCTGGAGTGATAGCACAGCGGGTAGGGCGTTTGCCTTGCACGAGACCGACCTGGCCAACCTGGATTTGATTCCTATGCCCCTTTCGGGGAGCCTGGAAAGCTACCGAGAGTATCTCACCTGCATGGCAAAGCCTGGCAAGCTCCCCGTGATGTATTCGATATGCCAAACACAGTAACAAGTGTCACAACGAAGATGTTACTGGGCCCACTCGAACAAGTTGATGAACAACGGGAGGACAGTGACAGTGTAACAATTTGTGTGTTTGTGTATGGATATGTAATTTTTCCCCCAGGGTTGTGTATCACACCTGGGGCCTCATGCATGCGTGTTCTTAGTCGTCTTGACAAACATTCTCCTTCCATGTGATGAGTGATTCGTCATTGGAATATTAGCCAAGTTAGGTGTAAGCTCAGAAAGCATGTTTTTAGCATGCATAAGAATCATCTGGAGAGCTTTGCAGAACACAGATTTTGGGGCCTCACTGCCTAAAGTTTGATTCCTCAGAAGGTTTGAAAGGGATCGGCAACAGGGTTCTGCCATACGTCAGTGAGGACGAGGGGGCTGCTGTACTATGATGGCATTTCTATTTACGTAAATCTTTCTCTTTTGTGTGTTCTTTGTGGTGCTCAGAGGTTAGTCCCAGCTCTGTGCTTGGGGTTTGTTCCTGGAGGTGACCAAAGATCTACCCCTGGGGAAGGAGCAATAGCACAGTGGGTAGGGCATTTGCCTTGCACGTGGCTGACCCAGATTCAAATTTCAGCATCCTATATGGTCCCCCGAGCAACACCAAGAGTAATTCCTGAGCATTGCTGGGTGTGACCCCCCCCCCCCCAAAAAAGAGAGAGAACCAGCCTTCACCCATCAGGGGATCAATTCTGGTCCTCCCTCTATTTAAAAAGGAGATTAAAGTCATGCATTGTTTTTAAGTTCATTTTTAATTTTAAAAGTTGTGCTGTTGTTGGGGCTGGACCAATAGTACCAGGGTTATGGCACTTGCCTTGCACACAGCTGGGCCAAGCCCCTGGCACCTCGTGGTCCCTTAAGGACTGCCAGGAGTGATTCCAGACTACAGAGCCAGGAGAAACCCCTGAGCATTACTGGGTATGTCCCAAAAACTGTCACTGTCACTGTCCTCCCATTGTTCATCGATTTGCTCAAGTGGGCCCAGTAATGTCTTCATTGGAAACTTTGTGTCCCCAAAACATAAACACAAAAAAGATCATGCTTTCAGAGGACTGGGGAGATTACTCAGAGGGATAGAGCACAAATTTTGCATGCACCTGGCCTGGTTTTTTTCCTGGTTCTGCAAAAATAAATAAAGTCCAGCACCGTATGATCACCAGGGCAGTGCCAGGAATAGCCCCTCAATACCAGCAGGTGAAGCTTTAAAACAAAACAAAATAAAAGACTAAATACTATTTATCTTGAGTAATTGTGTGTTGGCTTTATTATTTTTTTTGTAATTTCTTTTAAAAATTTTTTAAATTTATTTGTTGGGTTTTGGGCCACACCTGGCTTGCTCAGGGATTATTTCTGGCTCTGCACTCAGGAATCACTCATGGTGGTGCTTGGGGGGACCATATGGGATGCCAGGGGTCAAACCTGGGTCAGCCACATGGAAGGCAAGTGTCCTATTCACTATCACTTCTGTCCCGCAATTTCATTAAGTTCCAAGGTCAATGTCTTGATCTCCTCACCCTAGTTCCCAAACACAACCGTAAATCGTACAAAGTGGTTCCTGAGGATGCTCCATCTTATTACTCATTAACAGATCAAGTGCTTCATTGGTTCTATTGTATTCCAACCCCCAAAGGAAAGAACTCATATCTTACCAAAGTATTAATCTTTTTTTTAAGCAATGAATATTTTTTTTATTAGTGAAACACCACGAGGTACAGTTACAGACTTACAAATTTTTGTGCTTGGGTTTCAGTTATACAATGATCAAGTACCCATCCCTCTACCAGCGCCCATCCTCCACCACCACGGGCCCCAGCATCCCTCCCACCCCCCATATTTTATTCATCTCTCTACTAATTCCATAACATTGAACCTTAAGGGTCTCTAAGTATCCAAAGTATTAATCTTTCTTATTTTTTATCAATGTGTATTGGAGAAAAGTCTGAGGAGAGGTTTATCAACTTTTGGATGGGTGGAGGTTGGGTCGTGTGTGTTTCTTGATGAACAGTGTTATAATTTTATTAATGAATCTGGGATCACTGGGGATTATATCTAGAATGTTGTTAAAATTCTTGATGATCTTAGGGAATGCTTCAATA